AAAATCAATAAATGAACCAGTGTATTTTAGAATAGTTTGATCATCGTCGTCGTGTTTCGGGGCTAATAAATCCTCATTTATACCAGTCTTTGTGTTCTTGCTTCCGCATGGCGGGAATTGCCTTGGTCCCTCGTTCCGAGTATAAGTGATCAGCGATCTTTTTTTCCGGCACAACAATTGCGACGACACAATACAACAGCATGGTAACCAAGCTGAAATTTATATATTACTTTGGAATATTTATAAGTAGTTAAAAATATAATACTAAATTACTGCATGCATTAATCCCTTAGATTCATTTTGTTTCACTAAATCTATAATATTTAAGACAAGAAAATAACGTGACATGTAGCAGATATCATGTCGATTCAGTGCTTTATCTCTAGTATGTAAAGAAATAGTAATGCCAAAGTTTGTAAATATATTCCACATGATACTCGAATCAAAGAATAAAAAAATATACTTTTGAAACTGACGGAAGGTAAACTAGTATATTTTATATTGATCACAGAGAAATAAGATATGCAAAGAGTGCTGAATTTCGGAGTTTTAGCTAAACGTTTCTGATCACTATCATCAGAGATTTGTATTTTTTAGTAAGTAAAAATACAGAATATTAAAGTTACTAAATTCTAGACACAGTTTATAATATGAAAATTGTTTCGATAAATGTTGTATCGGAAAACAGGTTTCATGAGGTAGTCATTTAACAACCTAGGGTTGCTCACTTAGGTTTGAAAATTTAATAATAATGGGTTTTCGGAGGGTAACGGCGGAGAAAACTATGGCTTACACAAATAGGGTTAATGTAATGTCATTGAGCCCTAGCCAAACCATCCATCAAGTAAATCAGTGAATTCCAAGCAGTTTAACTGTTATGCAAGCTCACCTTCTCATATTTATTTTATATCCGTTTTTTGTTTTGTTTATGATGATATGTGCGTGCTTTATCCATATGTACTTCTTTACTAGATTTTATTTTATATCCTGTCGATTGTTATAAATAAGTTGATTCACATTTCATTATATATCATTGACTAGCAATGGAAAAAATACATTCTATATCCATTTATTCATTCTTATAGTTTGTCTCCCGAAGCATATGCATGAAATATTAATGAAAAAATAATGAACGTGGCAGGATTTAACAGTAGTGGTGTCCGAATCTCATTTATCTAGATGTCTCCTAAAAGATTCATCAATAAGTCTAGAATAACTGAGCGGAAAGATTTATTTGGATTGTAGTCTGTATCGAAGGTTATAATGTTTTAGTTGAATAGTGACCGGAAGAGCAGTGCCCTAAGACGAGTTGCAATGAGATCTTGCATTTATCCTTAGCCAGGCACCTTTGGTTAGTGATGGCCCCAGTAACACAATATGGTGTGGAGATAGACCTGACAACCTTATTTTGTAAACAGTTTTCAACGTTATTTGTATTTGTTTTGTCAATTTTTCACTGTATGTACATTTATCATTAAATGACTGTACGTGTTGTTTTAGTCAATGACCTTGAACACTTTTTCCGTTATGCTACTACATAGCTAACAAATACATTACTACTCACACATCCCTCGTTCTATTTTCATTTGTGATTGAGTTAGCTGAATTCTAAATCAAATATTATCATTATTTATAGACTGTAATTGGAATATATCACATTCTACGTGGGATTATATCACTAGAGAGTTCGCCAACCTGCTCAGAATTATCAAACATTTATAATTGTGGATTTACTTTACCGGACCTAATCAGAACACGCAACGTTTGGTCAATTTAAGTAATGTCCCTAATTAGTTATTGTAATTGTAACATTTAACTTGTAAATATTAATATTACTATTGATTGTTATTAAATTTGCTGATACCTTTTGCGCTTATATATTGTCTGGTCCACCACAATTATTTGGTGAGCCTCGATTATTTTTTTATAGACATTTACTTTATATATCTACATAATTTTTTTTATTATTATTAATTGGCACGACACCATTTTTTGTTTTTGGCATTATGAACTCTCCTAATAAACTTATCGATGTAGATAGCCCATCAACCAACCCCTTTCATTCATCACAGCCAGAAGATAATGCTTTAAACTCAATCAACGCTATTTCTGAACTAAGATTACCAACATTTTGTGTCAACAACCCTAGAATTTGGTTTGCTCAAGTAGAGGCACTATTTTTGGCGAGAGGTGTACGTTCGCAGGCGACTAAATATGCCGACGTCGTCGGTGCACTACCTATAGAAATAGCAACGGAAGTTGGTGACCTTATTGACAACGTACCAGAAACTGACCCTTATGACAAGATAAAAGCTGCAGTAATCCAACGCACATCGCTGTCAGACGAAAAACGTTTGCAACAACTGCTTACCTCGTGTGAGTTAGGGGATAAGAGACCTTCACAGTTACTCCGACACATGCGACAGCTCGCCGGCCCCTACAAATTAGACGAGACGCTGCTTAAGCAAATGTGGTTACAAAGGTTACCACATAATGTTAGACAAATTCTCAGTATTTCAGGAACTTCTGTCACTCTTGACGATTTAGCTGATATGGCTGATAAGATGATGGAAATATATCCCGATATTCGGAGAATTAACGCAGTACAACCCGCTAGTAGAGACGCTATGAACCCTCCTCTTGACATTCAGCAACAAATGGCACACTTAACACGGCAGCTAGCATCACTGCAGGCCACTATTTCCACCATCCATTCTCGACGCACCAGATCTACGTCCAGAAGGAGATCAGTATCCAGACATCGTCTTAGGTCACCTAAGCGGGCAGCCGGAATTTGTTGGTATCATTCGAATTATGGTGAGAAAGCACGTCGTTGCACAAAACCGTGCAACTTCACGACAAGCAAGCCAGACCATCAGGGAAACGAAGTGGCCAGGCAGTAATAGCGGCAGCTGTTACTGGCCAACATGTCAGCCGCCTCTTCCACATCAGGGATCGTATTTCTGGCTCAGACTTCTTAGTCGATACTGGAGCAGAAATCAGCATCATCCCACTCCATCTCTCACGCAGACAACATACGACAAGCACTAAATTGTCCTTAGTAGCGGCTAATGAATCAATTATCAAAACGTACAGTGAGCAATCACTTATATTAGATCTCGGGCTCCGCAGAAGATTCACATGGGTATTCATAGTTGCTCAGGTCAAACGACCCATCCTCGGGGCCGATTTTCTTAGTGCGTACAACCTGTTAGTAGATATGACCAACAAGAGATTAATCGACGTAAACACACGTTTACAGGTAAATGGTACACTCTCCAACGACAACGAAATCCATGGTGTTCGAATAATGAAACATGTGAACAACATCTTCAACGACATTCTAACAGAATACCAGTGCATTACGAAATCAGATTACCAAAAGGAATGTAACCCACACCAGGTACAACACCATATCATTACCACCGGTCCCCCTATTAGCGCCAGGGCGAGGAGACTACCACCAAGCAAGTTGCAAGTAGCTAAAAGAGAATTCGAACATATGATGCAACTTGGTATTATCAGACCATCCAGCAGCCCATGGGCCTCGCCGTTACACATGGTACCAAAGAAGGACCAAGATTGGCGTCCGTGTGGTGACTATCGACGATTAAACAATCAAACCATTCCCGACAATTACCCGATTCCGCATATACACGATTTTTCACTAAACCTACACGGTAAATGCATTTTTTCGAAGCTCGACCTAGTGCGAGCATATCACCAAATTCCAATGGCACCGGAAGACATTGAGAAAACAGCCATAATAACACCTTTTGGTTTGTTTGAGTTTCTAAGGATGCCATTCGGATTAAAAAAACGCTGCGCAGACATTCCAACGCTTCATGGATAACGTAACAAGAGGCCTTGATCTCGTGTTTGCCTACATCGACGATGTTCTCATTGCAAGTTCATCTTTAAAAGAGCATATCCAACATGTCCAGACCCTTTTTGATCGTTATAAAAAACATGGCGTCGTCATCAATCCTTCGAAATGCATATTCGCAGTCCCAGCCTTAGAGTTTTTAGGACATTACATTGACTCTCAAGGCATCAAACCACTCCCAGAAAAGGTTGAAGCTATTACGAATTATCCCGAACCAACCTCGGTGAAGTCATTACGACGTTTCCTCGGTATGTGTAATTTTTATCGCCGTTTCTTACCACATTGTGCTGAAGTATTACAGCCATTAACCGATCTGCTGAAAGCCGACAAAAAAGGTACTGATGATGTCACAGGTATTCAGTGTTTGACAACGCTTCTACCAGTAACACCTTCTAATATATTTCGTTCCCGCCCAGAGAAATCAAAAGACAGAGTCGAGGAGATCGGAAGAGTATATTTGGCGATGACCAATATATCGGAATTCTCTGATCTAATCTGGCTAGCGATTGCGGTTGATGTTGAGCACGGCGTTACCACACGTGATCTGGTGCGGATGACTGACCGAGCGCCTTCAGCTAGGTGAGTCCACTAAAACATATGGTCAGCATCCAATGTCGAAAACTTAGTGCTATTTATTTTGGGGATTTATTTACCGCTACAGATCACTCCCCCCCTAGTGGGGCAGTGACGACCCTAAGACGTGGCCAGCCAGAAGTTTAAACCCAACGAGTTTGTCGTTGGTAAACACTCTTCTGATAGCTTACTAAATTTAGCAGCGTCTGGTCGTCTTTCCTTACTATATGGGACGGAGGTACAACATAGTAAAAAAAGAAAATGTACATGGAAAATTTCGGATCCTCATAAACGTCATCGTTCTTTTCCAGCCGTCCTGGAAAAGAAAAAAGAAAATGTAAGTGCATGTCGAAATACACTCGTATGTGCGTCAAAGCACAATGTCGGCGGAAAAAAAAAATGGAAATAAACTCATGAACACGTAATAGCGTTAAAAAAATTGTTTTTTTGTTTTTTTTTTTTTTAAATAGAAATAAAAATATATAAGCATATTAAAATTGTTTTTTTTTTTTAAAAATAATATAAAATGTCGAGAAGTGCCTTACGTGCAATAGTCGTTTAGATGTTCTGGAAATCTCACCCTTCTTCCAGAACGCGTCGTTTTAAGTTTATTTTCGGATACTGTCGAAGTATCATCGTGTGTGTTGGTTGTCGGATGAGGTATTATAAGTGTCGGAGTCGTGTCGTTCAATTGTACCGAAGGAAAATCCACGTAGATAGGATTTCCTTCTAAATACGCTGCTTTTAAGCGATCGATACTGATGCTATCGTTGGTTCCGTTCTTATCGACTATATAGTACTTAGATTCACGTTGAAGAACTTTGAAGGGTCCTTCGTATGCTGATTCGAAGGGTCGTCGATGCGAGTCTCGACGAACGAAAACGTGTGTACTATATCGTAAGTCAGGTTGAACGAAAACATCAGTCGATTGAGGTCGGGTGGAAGCAGGTTTAACTGAACGCATTGCGTTTGTAAGCCTGTTCGTGTAGGAGGTTAGATCCATGTTCATTGAAGAGGATGAAGGATCCACGAATTCTCCTGGAAGTCGAAGTGTCGTACCATAAACGAGTTGAGACGCAGTGTATCCAATGTCAGCTTTCACTGCATTGCGGATACCTAGTAAGACGAGTGGAAGAGCGTCGGTCCACTGTGAAACGTTTGTAGCTGATAGCGAAGCTTTCAGTTGTCGGTGAAAACGTTCTACCAACCCGTTTGCTTGTGGATGGTAGGCGGTCGTTCGGAAGCGAGTGCTTCCTAAAAGAGTGGTCAGACGACGGAAAAGATCAGATTCAAATTGACGTCCGCGGTCTGTAGTGATGGTTGAAGGGCAGCCGAAGTTTGCTACCCATCGTTCGACGAAGGTGCGAGCCACTGTTTCAGCAGTGATGTCCTTGATAGGTACTGCTTCTGGCCATCGAGTGAAACGGTCTACGCAGGTTAGGAGATAAGAGTATCCATTTGAATCTGGTAAAGGTCCTACCAAATCCAGATGAACATGGTCGAAACGAGCATCGGGAGTTTTAAACGAGCCTAAGGGACATTTGTTGTGTCTGATAACCTTAGATTTTTGGCAGCTTACACAGGAGCGTGCCCACTCCCTCACGTCTTTATTCATTCCAGGCCAGCAAAACCTTTCTGCTATAAGCTTGATGGTTGCACGAACACCTGGATGCGAAAGTTTGTGCAATGTGTTGAAGACATTGCGTCGATAATGTTTCGGCACGATTGGGCGATCCCTACCTGTAGATGTGTCACAAAGTAAGGTTTCCTTACCTGTTCCCATCTGTTTGATGCGTAGTTTAAGTGTTGTGGACGATAACTCGTGCTGAAGATCAGTGTCTTCTTTTTGAAGCTCGGCGAGTTTAAGAAGGTCGATTCCTTGGAAACTGTTCAAGGAAGTTATACGAGATAAAGCGTCTGCAACTACATTGTTTGCTCCAGAGATGTGTTGAATATCTGAAGTAAACTGCGAAATGTAGTCCAGTTGTCGAGACTCACGGGGAGAGTACTTGTCAGAAGGAGAGCTTAACGAGAAAGTGAGCGGTTTATGGTCCGTGAAAAGAGTGAATTCACGACCTTCGATGTAGTGTTGAAATGCCGGACAGCACAATACATAGCTAGGAGTTCCCTACCGAATGTGCTGTACCTCGATTCGGTGTCTAGCAACCGTCTAGAGAAAAATGCCAAGGGTTGCCAGGAGTTGTTAACCCATTGTTGTAAGACTCCTCCGATTGCCGAGTCGGATGCGTCTACTGCGATGCTAATGGGTGCTCGGGTGTCCTGATGTGCGAGCATTGTTGCTTTAGCAATCAGTTCCTTAACTGTGGAGAATGCTTTTCGTGCGGTGTCGTCCAAATTAATGGATTTCGCATTTCCACGAAGTTGGTCGGTTAGAGGTTTCATAAGTAATGCGCATTTCGGTATGAAACGTCTATAGAAACTTACCAGGCCGTTAAACGTGCGTAATTGCTTGACGGTGGTCGGTTCTGGGTAATCCAGAATGGCCGCCACTTTGGTCCTAAGAGGTCGAATGCCTTGAGCATCGATAGTGTGTCCTAGGAAGTCTAACGAGTCGGTTCCGAATTGGCATTTCTGAACGTTTACAGTTATGCCATGTTTTTGAAGTCGTTCGAAAACAAGATCCAGATGCTTGAGATGTGTTTCTCTGTCCGGACTTGCGATTAGACAGTCATCAACATACGCGTGTACGAAGTTGAGACCTCGAAAAACGTCGTCTATGAATCTTTGGAATGTTTGAGCAGCATTCCTTAGACCGAAAGGCATTCTCAAAAATTCATAGAGTCCGAAAGGAGTTATGATAGCTGTTTTTGGTATGTCGTCAGTAGCCATAGGGATTTGGTTATACGCTTTAACCAAGTCGATTTTCGAAAAGACAGTTGTACCTTTCAAGGTAGCTGTCAAATCGTGAATGTGAGGCAACGGGTAACGATCGGGAATGGTTTTCGCGTTCAATCGCCGATAGTCACCAGTTGGACGCCAATCGTTGCTGTCCTTTTTAGGGACCATGTGCAACGGAGATGCATATGGGCTACTTGACGGTCGTATGATTCCTAAGTCCATCATGTGATCGAATTCGTTTTTCGCTAACCTTAGCTTTTCAGGAGCTAGTCGGCGTGCTTTAGAAAATACAGGTGGTCCTGTAGTCGTGATGTGATGTGTAACATTGCTGGTTACACACGGTAGTTTCGTTTGAGTTTGTTGTATCTCAGGGTACTTATCGAGTAGTGGTTGATAGAGTGGGTCTATCATATGTTTAACTGTGACTGGGGATACTCTACAACCAGTAAAAGAAGTTACGCAAACGGACAAATTAGTGTTACCGTCTACTAGCTTCCGTTTGCGTGTGTCGATGATCAGATTGTGGTGTTGTAGAAGATCCATACCAATGATTGGCATAGAAACATCTGCAACAACGAAAATCCAGTGGATGGGTTTGCGTAAACCCACGTTAAGGTAAACGTACCTTTTGCCATACGTAGCGATCGGTTTTCCGTTTGCCGCCTGTAAGTTTAGGGTCGATTCGTGTAGTCGGTCGTTAGGAATCGCTGGGAGAACGCTAACTTCTGCGCCAGTGTCGACGAGGTAACGAACTCTCGTTGTCACATCTGTGACGAATAACAGACGGCTTTGTTCGCCGGCTACGGTTGCCGTTAACGCGTGCCGGCTTGGAAGTTTCCCGAATTGCTTTTCGAATCAGTCGGTTTCGTGTTGGGAAAATTGCAGGGTTTTCTGCAATTTCTGGAAAGCTTTCCATACTGGTTATGATACCAGCACCAGTCGGGGTTATCTGTCTCTCGTGGTCTAGAGACAGATCGCTTACGAGAAATGCTTCTACGTGGTGTGCGCGATCTCTTACGGTCGTTATGAAGACTAAGATAACGCGTGAGTGTGTGACATAAGTCGTTTATATCATTCTGAGTCGTTTGAGGTTTTTCTTTGACTGAAAATACCTCGGTAGTAGATTTCGTAATTTCTAATATGCGGTCGGCAGATGCAGCTAGCTCGTCTAAGGCGTTGTTCTGGAACGAGACCAGAACTGTTTGCACCTGTTGGGGAAGTTTTGACAAGAAGAGTTGTTTGAATAGGCCTTCGTCGAAAGTTCTTGGGCCTATAACCTCTCTCATCCGTTGCAACATGTCTGTCGCAGAACCGTGTTGCAGGTCGATATTGTTGAAGAGTTGATCTAACCTTTGTCGATCGGTTAGGTCTCCTCGTTTAAGAATCGAGCGTTTTAAGATTTCGTAAGGATCGGAAACATCACTAGTAAACATACTAGGTGTTACGTACCTGTTGAATTCGCGCGGTAGTGCCTTGACTACTGCGAGGAATTGTGCACGTGTGTCGATCACGCCGTGCTCGGAGAAGTCGGCTTCTGCGTAGCAAAACCAGGCTTCGATGTTGTCGGGCCAGAAAGGCATGAGTTGAAACGAAGGCGGGGACAAAGTCTTAAGCTTGAGTACTTTAGGTGTCTGTTCAGTCATGATGAAGTATGAAGTACGATAATGAACAAGGGGAAAATATATATATCCAGGAAAAAACACGAAAAAAAAATCACAATGTTTAAAAAAGTTAAAAAAAATAAGGCAATGATATATAAAAATCCCAAAAAGGAACAGACTCACAGTTGCAATTAGGTGTACCAGATCACGTCGGTTTCACCAATGATGATGTCACAGGTATTCAGTGTTTGACAACGCTTCTACCAGTAACACCTTCTAATATATTTCGTTCCCGCCCAGAGAAATCAAAAGACAGAGTCGAGGAGATCGGAAGAGTATATTTGGCGATGACCAATATATCGGAATTCTCTGATCTAATCTGGCTAGCGATTGCGGTTGATGTTGAGCACGGCGTTACCACACGTGATCTGGTGCGGATGACTGACCGAGCGCCTTCAGCTAGGTGAGTCCACTAAAACATATGGTCAGCATCCAATGTCGAAAACTTAGTGCTATTTATTTTGGGGATTTATTTACCGCTACAGTACGAAGAAAGAGAAGAGTCAGACATTCAAACTACCCCCTGACGCCAAAACAGCATTCGAGAAAGCAAAATTGATGATATCTAATGCTACCATGCTACAGCACCTAAACACCGATCCCACAACAAACCTCATCCTCTGCACCTTCGGACGCGAACTTCTGGCTATGTACTTAGCTGTAAAACACTTCAACTTCCTGCTTCAGGGACTTGATTTCACCATTATGACTGATCATAAACCACTTTGCTATTCTTTCAACACGTCCTACGACAGACATTCTCCACGGGAAGCCAGACAACTGGATTACATTTCTCAAGTCACTACGGACATCCAGTTCATCAAAGGCTCCTCCAACATTGTCGCTGACGCTCTATCTAGGAAGGATATCAATATGGTGGTACACAACCACAACATCAGCCTTGAAGCTTTAGCTAAGCTACAAGTGGACGATGCAGATTTGAAGACCTGCAAAGAGAAGTCTTACTTGAACCTTAAACCTGTACCCATTCCTTTCTCAGACGCATCTATTATTTGCGACACTTCAACGGGTAACAATCGCCCCTTTGTGCCACAACCCTATCGACGAAAAATATTTCAACAGCTACATGGACTGTCGCATCCAGGCATCAGAGCTACCACGAAGCTTATTACAGAACTCTTTATTTGGCCAAAAATCAATCCAGATGTTAAACGTTGGACACGTAACTGCCTCCAGTGCCAACGCAGCAAAATCCAAAAACACACTATCAGCCCGATCGGGGAATTCCCTATTCCCGACAAACGTTTTCAGCATATCCATTTGGACTTAGTTGGGCCACTGCCTCCGTCAAACGCCTTCACCCATATTCTCACTGCGGTGGACAGGTTCACAAAATGGGCCATAGCCTGCCCTATAAAAGACACTTCAGCAGAAACGGTCGCTTCAGTCTTCCTCGACCGCTGGAAATCTAACTATGGAGTACCTTACATCGTCACTACCGACCGTGGTCCCCAGTTTCAGTCTATTTTATTCCAGGAATTCACAAGACTTCTGGGTGTAAACCACATAAAAACAACAGCCTACCACCCAGCAGCTAACGGTTTGGTCGAAAGATTTCACCGCCAATTGAAAAGCTCGCTGATGGCACAAAATGATACGACAAAATGGAGTGACGCATTACCACTTGTACTCCTGGGTATCCGTTCAACTATAAAGGAAGATATAGGTTGTACAGCCGCTGAGCTAGTTTATGGTACAACCCTTACATTACCAGGTCAACTAGTGGACCCAAACACTTTAACACCAACGGACCCAAGTCGTTTTGCTAGCCAACTGCTGCAGACCATGCAACAGATCAAAGCCATACCGCCTCGTGAACATAACAATCGAATACAACTCGACAGAAATCTAGAAACATGCAAGTTTGTCTTTGTTCGAGCAGATGCTGTCAAAAAACCATTGAAACAACCATACGAAGGTCCATATAAAGTAATTAAACACAAACAAAAATACTTCATCATCAGCAGAGATGTCAAAAAGCAGACTATTTCTATAGACAGAATCAAACCTGCTTTCTATGAATCTACTCAAGTCAAAGAAGACAACGCTGTTGACAATCAACCCCTTTCACCAG